GCCGCCACGAGAATGGTTGCCGGCCCCAAATCCGTGGACTACGAAACGCGTCTCGTGATGCTTGATCTCTTTTCCCTGGGTTATCGTAGCCTCCGAGGGGACCTTATTCTTACTTATGCCTTGTTTGAGCATAGCTTGGCAAACAGGCTTTTCACCGTTGACCAAGCAAACACACGGCGGGGACATAGTAGGAAAATTTTCAAGCTCAGAGCACACACATTCACTAGACAGAATTGTTTCTCATTTTGGGTAGTAGCTGCGTGGAATAACCTTCCTCCGACGGTTGTACACGCTCGTTTTAGAACCCAATTTAAAGCACAATTAGACATTAATCTATGCGAATCCTCGCGCTGGCAAGCATACTGCCCGGCGCTGAGAACATAAAGAGCAGTGCTACACCCTTTTTTCACTTGTGCCTTTCAGGTGAACGACAGCCACTGACCAACAAGAACAAAATCGACCCGGAAATCTTGGGCAAACGCCTCGAATCCGTGAATCCGTGAATCCGTGCCAGACGTTGATCTAGTTAGCATGGGCGGTGACAGGGTGAGCTAAACGGGGAACTGTGGTAGTTTTTAACTCAGCCAGAGAACCCAATCATAGGGTCTCTGTTTTGCCGGGTGTGTGAGTATGTTATTGTGAAGATATCAGACGGATATTGCTTGGTTGAGCAAAAGCTTCCGAGATAATGGATATGGACATACTTTAACCGGAAGCTGCTACTTAAACCGAACAGAAATGTGAGAGGGTGTTTCGCCAGTCACTGAGCCACTGACGTTGGCTCTAAGCGATCAACAAGCGTCAGTCGGTGCTGATATTATTCGAAGGATAATAGCTTCCCATGTTTTGTATGTATACGATCACTTCATGTAACAAGCGGGATAATCGAGTGTTTTATGTTTTGCTGATGAAGTGGATTTGAAGTGGTGCACCCAAGACGATAGTGGCAACAGCCTAACATGTCGATGCCGGTGTTGAGCGTCTTCCGACTACTCCATGTATTTTCTAATTCAGAGAGTAAGGCATAAGTCCTCCGCTTAATATCAGAGCTTCGAACAGTTTTAGGGTACATCTCGATATGCGATTCTCGGAGTTACTTGACTGCGCCGTTACACAAGCAGTTTGGAATGGATCATGCGGGATTGCGGCAACTCCCTGTAATATTCAACGCCGGACGACAAACCATCCGAATCTGACTTGGCAAGTGTTTTTTGTTCGCGTCGCTTCAGACTACAAGAGGTGCCTTTTAACCAAGGGCAAGATGCGCATCCTGAAAAGCGGAAAAAGGCGTTAGCGAGCAACCCCTAGCCAGGATTCACAGTGATTTCGGCACGAAGTTTATTCAGTAATTGGCGCATAATCCATGGACAGCACGTATTTTTAGCCGTTGTCCCTGGTCCTCGGCTCACGTCCAAGACGACGATTGAGCTGGAACTTAGCAGCGCCAATTTAACCAAGCTTCAAGGTCATTGTAACGGGCGAACGGTACCTTCGAGTGACGTGTAATGCCAGAACCTCCGGCAAGGCAAAACAAAGTCGCAGCTGGGCTCTATTCAGTACTATCAATTTAAGACGAATTCACAATCTACATCAACCTCGAAAGTAGATACCCGTCTAAAACAAATGGTCCAATTGAACTACAAAAGTACAGACCAAGAGGGCAAACAGGGTCCCACATGAGACAGCCACACGTGCAGAACGTCGGCCACAGATGACCGGATGACTCCAAGGTCAAATGAGTAAAGCGGTAAAGAGCAACAAACGCCAGTTCTCATACACGCACTAAACACAAAAATGGGGCAGGAGTTACAAATGGGGACAGAATGAACGGGGGGATTTCAAGTGTTAAAGTAATGGACGACACTGTCATATTTGGAACGAAGAGTGCAAATACAATGGACAGTCTGTTGGGGTGATGCCGATCCTTAGAGGCACGACCGAAATTTCTCCTAAATTGTAGTTTGAAGAAAGGAAACTCAGACGTCGCGGTTAAGCATCCTATGATATATGTTCGGGCATTTGAAATAATTATATGTTGCCGGAGGCTTTTTATAAATCATTTAAACAAAATTAGGGTCAACTATGTGCGCCGGATTTGTATTTCAGTGGCGGCTAGTGGCTTTGTATGTGGTATCTGTGAAAACGATGGGAAATCGTATTAGCTGCTTCAGTGTGTCAGACAGTTTACGCGTGTGTGTGCATGTTCGTCGTTCCCCCATCGATCTGGCGTGTGACTTGAGTGACTGATTGGTTGTGTGTCCGATTGATTTGCTCGCTTGAGAGTTGCAGGTTTACTGCAAGTGTGCATCCATTGTTTTTCTATAGAGGAGAATGTCGGTAGCTCAGACAGCGTAGATGGTCGTTGGCTATAACCACTAACCCACCGCTACGCACAACTACGCACTGATGATGTCACCTCGATTGATGGAAGGTTTGCAACCAAATTGCCCAGCTCAACGAACAAGCCAACGACAATCTAGTGTTTGGTTGAAGGAGCGTGGACTACGAATAAGGAAAGAAAAGCGTGACTTCCTGGTAGAGGATGTACATCATTAGGGTTTCCGCATCGGTGCACAGGGTTTGGCTTCTCTGGCCGAAAAAAGGCACATTAGTCATTATGCAAGGTTTATTCCGCAAGTCACCATACTTTTTCATTCACTGAATTACTTGCTACGTCAGGGAGTTGGCAAGATTTGTAATCAAGAACAAGAGAAGGTTTTTTGACATGCGAAAGGTGCCCTTACGAATCCTTCTGTGTTCACTCATTTTGATAGGATGCAGCTCGTTTTTCTCGCTTGTGAAGCTTCACTATAAAGTGTTGGAGCTGTGTTTTCGCATAGGGATGAAGCGGAGATTCGCAAACCAGTTGCTAGGGCTTCAGGATCCTTGTAGCCTGCTGAGAGGAACGACGCACAAGTCAATAAGCAGGCACTGGCGATTCTTTTCAGAGTGACACGTTCGCAACACTACCTTCTCGGACAAACGCTCGATATGCTCACCGACCACAATCCTCTACTTGGGATTCTCGGATGAATAAGACAATACCTCAAATGCCGTCGCTTAAAATACAACATTGTGCCCGAAAAATTGCAATCAGTATCATTTACGGTACGCTCCTGGTCAGGTAAATCTTACGGCGGATGCTCGAAGTCGCCTACCGTTGCGAGATGTACCGTTACACACACCAAAATCAGCCAACCCGGTAAATTCAACGGGTTGAGATGATGATCTGCCCATCACTGCCTCGGAAATACGAGTAGAAACAAGAAATGATCCAAAACACTCACGCATTCTTTGTTTATCTTCATACGAGTGACCAGAGAATGCTGAAAATACACTAAGCGGGTTTTGTGAGCGATCACCGGAGCTGAGTTTACAAGATAGACATTAACTATGGGGAGCAACAGTGATAATTCCGAGACGCTACCGTCCGGACATTTTAAGGGAAGTACGTTCAGGCTATCCAGGTATCCCAAAATGAAGGCATAAGACAGACATTATATCTGGTGGCTTCGTATCACTCACGAGGTGGAAATGATGGTACAAAATTGTGAGGCATGTCAGTAAGATAGGCCGTTGCCCACCGCAGCACCCATACCACTATGGCTGTGGCCGCCACTAATTGGAGCCGCATACACGTGGATTATTGTGGCTTTGTTGAAGGGTATATGATCCTGGTGATTTTCGATGAATATTCCAACTTTATAGAAGCGGAGATCACCAGAACTGCATCTGGTGTGCCGCCCATGTCTATAATTCGCAGCATTCTTGCATCGCATGATGTACAGGACACGACTGTTTCTGATAACGGCACAGCTTTTACGGGTGCGGAATTTCAGGTGTTCAAAAAACCAACAAGATTGAGCATGTTGTAAAAGCACCACACCATCCCGCTTATAACGGCCTGGCGGAACGCGCGGTGGAAACATACTGATGGAACAAAGCCCAGGTCACCTACAAACAAGGTTGAACAAGTTTTTGCTGCAGTACAGAGTTACGCCGCACACTACATACAAGCCAGGCCCCCTCAGAATCATTAATGGAAAGAAGACTTCAAACACGTTTGAATCTGCTGCGGAGGGATTTGGTGCTTAAGGTCAAACAGCGGCAGTGTTCCATGAAGCAACACGCAGATAACCACGTCCGATCCCGTACTTCTCACGTCAAACTTCAGCCCTCAGATAATGAATGGGTGCGCGGACGTGTGAAGTCAACAGGCCGTAAACTTATCGACGTGCTGTTAGAAGGTGGGTGGATAATACGCCGTCATTAAGACCAAATCAGAACTAGGAATCATGGACCAGATGTGGAACAAAAACCTGAGCCGACAGTACAGATGGACTCCGGACTGAACCGAGAGAGTTTGGAAACAACCACAGATGCGTCAATGTGCCAGCGCCGATCGGCCGGGGAGTCAACATCAGTTGAACGTCACCAAGCTATGGTTGGCTAAAGCTAGCGGTGGAGGACTGTTGTATCTGCTTCGGTTTATCAGAGAGTTTGCGTGTGTGCGTGTCCGTTCGTCGTTTCACCATCGATCTGGCGTGTGAGTTGAGCGGCTGATTAGGTGCGTGTCCGACTGATTTGCTCGCGTGAGCGTTGGAAGTTGACTGGATATTTGACTAAGTTGTTTGTTTACCCGCCACGAAGGCAGACTAGTTGGCCGCCTGTATACAATACACCCATGTCGTAACTTACATGTTTATCTGACTTACTGTGCACCACAACGGAAATTTTGTGGAAAATCTGCCTCTTTCACGTGTTTTTGTATAGGATTTGGATATAATCGCACGACCACACAAACAATAATTACGCCCCATATGCACCAAACCATGAACGGTACCATTAGCGAGTTTATGGAAAAAACAAGCAGGCAGAACAATAAAGCGGCCGGTGCTCTTAGATCCTGGCACAATTCAAACGGATTGAGGCAGTCTTGTATGTGCACGAAACACGCTCGTCCGGAAAATTTTAGAGGTATGGTGAACCGGGAGCGATCCATCAGAGTGAGTATAGTAGTCGCAGTTGTGAACGAACCGGGAGCGATCCATCAGAGTGAGTATAGTAGTCGCATTTCCGTCATCGCGACGCTGTACTTGGATTCGTGGACAGCCACGTACATGTACATCTTGGGCGAGCCTTTCAGGGTTGCCATCGTAGTCGTGAGAAATTAAGGCAAAGATGCATCAGGGATATTCTTGGGTCCATCGATGGTGTACAGTTTCATCCCTGCTATTCAGGCGAAGCAATAAGATAGCCCTGTCTACGTTGGGGACTCGAGATAGGAAAAAAATGCCTAAACATTTGCCAGAAAGCACTAAACAGCGGCCCGAAATTTCAGGCAGCAAAAAGTATTCACAATCCAAGACTACTCTACTGAGGCGACACTGCCCGACTTGAAGTACGGCAATCAATATTCCGGTGTGGATAATGAGTGTGCGGTCGATACGAACGGATGTGGACGTGCGAAATTATGAGGGACTTGCACTGGCCAGATAGTGCGCAGATGAGGTAGCTCGAGCTTACAAAGACA